ACACATGTACTCGCCTCTTTAGATTCACTCCCTCTGAGCTCCAGCACCAGGGTAGCAGCTTGAAAGACACCAGTGGTATACAGGGAGAAACTGAAGTGTCTGTCATCAAGGCAAGCAGAGGTCATTGTCCCTATTCTAAACTCTCCCCACACAGAGGTGGCAAGCTGGTGCCATAACTGTGAATTCATTAACCTGGCTAACACTATTTGACTTGACTTAAAGATCCACAGAGACTATACTCCACCCAACTTATAGACCCACCCTAGCTGCTTTTCCATATGAATGGTTGATATTGGCCATACTTCCCAACTTTCTAAATCCTATTAGACAAGCAACAGCTGGCCTCAGTGAGCTCCAGCCCCCAGCACTAGCAGAAGCCAGCTCAGTTTCACAGCGTGGTTTCTCCTGGGGATCTCAAAGCCCAGCACAAGTAGCAGCCATCTCAGATTGCTTTATAGCTCAGGGGGGTAGTCCTGGGAAAAATACAGGTCGGGGCTGACCTTGGCCTATACCACTTGGAAAACCCTGTGGCCAGCACATCCAGTGGGCAGCTACTGACCATTTCGGAGCATCACCACCCTGCCCCTGCACAGCCGATCCTCCACGGAGGGTGGAGGATAGTGGACAGTGGTCATAGCCAGTCCTTGCAGTTGACTGGCCTGGGTAAAACCCTCCCATTGACCTGCCAACAGCAATCAAGGCTCAACTACGACGGGAGGGTTTACTCAGCCCACGTGAAGGGTGCTCCTTGAGTAACCAGCTTGGGTGATAGGGGAAGCTGTGCCACTGGACCCCATATGACACCTACTACATTAGGCCACGCTACCAAGGCAGGTAGTCATAGCAGCTCTATCTAATACATAGAAACAAATACAGGCAGGTGCCAAAGTGAGCAGATAAAGAAACACGGCCCAAATGATAGAACAGATCAAAACTCCAGAAAAACAACTAAACAAAATGGAGATAAGCAATCTGTCAGATGCAGATTTCAAAATACTGGTTATAAGGATGCTCAAGGAACTTAGTGAGGACCTAAACAGCATAAAAATGATCCAGAGAGAAATGAAGGATACACTGATTAAAATAAAGAACAATTTACAGGGAAACAACAGTAGAGTGGATAAAGCCAAGAATCAAATCAATGGTATGGAACATACGGAAGCAAAAATAACCAATCAGAACAACAAGAAGGAAAATCAATCCAACGTAACGAGGGTAGTGTAAGCAACCTCTGCAACAACTTTGAGCAGTCCAACATTCACATCATAGTGGTGCCAGAAGAAGAGAAAGAGCAAGAAATTGGAAATCTAGTTTTAAAAATAATGAAAGAAAACTCCCCTAATTAGGTGAAGGAAATAGACATGCAAGTCCAGGAAGCACAGAGAGTTCCAAACAAGAGGGATGCAAAGAGGCCCACTCCAAGGCACATCATAATTAAAACCCCAAAGGTTAAAGTGAAAGAGAGAATCTTAAAAGCAGCGAGAGAAAAGCAGTTAGTTACCTACAGCAGAAGTCCCATAAGACTGTCGGCTGATTTCTCAAAAGAAACTTTGCAGGCTAGAATGGATTGGCAAGAAATATTCAGTCATGAAAAGCAAGACTTGCAGCCAAGATCGCTCTCCCCAGCAAAACTATCATTTAGAATTGATGGCAGATAAAGAGCTTCCCAGAAAAGAAAAAGCTAAAGGAGTTTATCATCACCAAACCATTAGTATATGAAATGTTAAAGGGACTTATTTAAGAAAAAGAAGAAGATCAAAACTATGAACAGTAAAATGGCAATAAATATAAACCTATCGACAACTGAATTTAAAAAACAAATTAAGCAAACAAGAACAGAGACAGACCCTTGGATATGGAGAGCGTTTTGATGGTTGCCAGATGGAAGGGGGATGTGGAGGGATGGGTGAAGAGGTGAGGAGATTAAGAAGTACAAATAGGTAATTACAGAATCGCCATGGGAATGTAAAGTACAGTATAGGAAATGGAGTAGCCAAAGAACTTACACACATGACCCATAGGCTTGAACAATGGTGTGTGGCTTGCCTTAGGGGGTGGAGTGCTGGGTGGAGGTGTGGCAAAAGTGGGAAAATTGGGACAACTGTAACAGCATAATAAATAACATATAATGAAAAACAGAAGGAAAGAAATCTTCAAGATAGGTGGCCCAGAGGCTCACTGCTCAGTATGCAGGATTTTTCAGAATCCTTTCATTCTCTACTAGGGATTTGACCACTGCTGGCATCTGCATGAGCCATGCCTTACTTAGTTTAATGCAGAGAACACATTTTCAATTTCCTGTCAGAGTTGGGAGAATTAGCACCTGAATTTTCAGGGTGGCAGCAGGCATGGGCACTTTCCTGTCATCCATCTGTCTCCCCCAGTAACTGGTACAAATATTGGGCCCTCATACTGATCTGTGGAGAAAATTGGAGTCTTACTCGTGCCCTGTGTTCCCTTGCCAGTAAGGTATCTTTTGGTTTTTGAAGACAGAGTTTGTTTCATTCCCTCCTCTGTTTAGGGTAATTTTTAAAAGAACGGTGGAACAGAAGCATTTTTATTCCACCATCTTGAAATAGGAGCTTAATGCTTATCATGAGTTGAATTGTGTTTCACCCCACCCCCCAAATTTGTATGTTGAAGTCCTAACCTCCAGTACCTCAGAATGTGACCTTATTTGGGTATTGGACCTTTACAGTAATAATCAAGTTAAAATGAGCTCATTAGGGTGGGTTCTAATTCAATAGGAGAGATGCCTTTTTATAAGGGGGGAAATTTGGACACAGAGACTGTGTGCAGAGGGAAGAAGATGTCTATCTACAAGCAAAGAGGAGAGGTCTAGACCCTTATATCATGGTCCTCAGAAGAGCCAACCTTGCAGATACCTTGATTTTGGACTCCTAAACTCTTCAACTGTGAGACTGCAAATTTCTGTTGTTTGAGCCACCTAGACTGTGATACTTTGTTACAGAAGCCTATGCAAACAAATACAATGCTATTTTTTATTTGCTCAAATACCCTTCCCCCTACTCAGTCTGATTTGTGCTCTTTAAAACACAGTTTTGTGTCACTCACTTTCAGAAAATATCCTTGATTCAGTTTAAATGTCCTTCTTTGTAGCTATCAATATGTACTGTGGTGATTAGTCTTCTTGTTTGACTTACACACTGAGGTACAGGTACTTTAGCTATGGGATCATGTCTTACCACAGTACTTGAACACAGGAAGCTTAAATATTTTTTATTGAATGCTTATATATATATTATTAAGTATGCCTTTTGAGAAAGGATGATTAAAACTGTATTTTAGTTGAATAACAAAAATTTAAGTTTTAATATGTTAAATTAGTATTTAATGTTAGAAAAAAAATGTGTGAATACAGTGATGTAGAAATTTCTAAGTTTTAGAAGTAAGAAAAACAGTGATCACAGGTTTTTCCTCCCCTATCTTTGAACAGAAGCTTCTTGTCCTGCCTAGAGATCACAGCTGGGTAAGCACACACTAGGATTGCAAATAACTTTGAAGTCTTCATAGTTAAGGTGCCGTGTGACCTCCCAGTTTCTATGGTCTTTTAAATGACACTTTATGCGTCTAACTACTTTTTTTTTTTAGTCAAAAACTAGGACCCATAGTCTGATAAAAGAACAAACTGTTAAGTTTAAAAGGAAGGACTACAAACAGAATTTAGGTTTTCCACTCAAGTCATCATATCTAATTTAACAAAATATTTTACTACTTCTTTTAATCTCTTGGTTAGAAGATGTGCTCCCTTGTCCCCTTCCCCCCTTTTAGGTTTTATGTGGAATATTTGTGACGAAGACTACGTTCTCCAATGAGGGATCATTGGAGAATCGCTCCCCACCTTCTGTCTTATCACAGTCCCCTTTTGTTTAGGATATAGATAAGAGAAAGTCCTAAGATTTTTCTCTGTCTAATGTAACAGGGTTTGGATATACAAGGGCTTTCTTAATAAACACATCCAGAGCTCCACTATTCTAATTTTTAGTGTTATAGATGATACAATCCCTTTCTGGCAAGTGCTTCATACTATTTGAAGGAATACGGGTTCATAGTGACAGAAATGGGGGAATGAATTAAGAAATCCTTGAGGAAATATTATAGTAAGAGAAAAGCAGGGAGGAGCAGCCTATATAAGCTTTATGGGTTATTATTCCTACTATGAGGCTGCTGGTAGTTTTATGAGAAAAATGGAATTTCCTACACATTAGCTTATCGGCCTGGCCTCTGTGCCTTACAGAGGCTGGGCTACAAGTAAGTGTGAGAGAGAGACAGAATACTTGACATCTCATAAATTCCAGAATATCTGGTCACTGTGCCACTGTGTGGAACCCTGACATAGTGGGTCAGTCGGACTAAAGACACCCTGCGGTGTGCACTAGCTCTCTTAAGGCCTGCCCTGGTCCTAATTCAGCCAGAATGATGATTCCTGTGCTCCTTAACAGGCCTTGTTTTTCTGCTTAAAAATAGAAATAAGGTTCAGGTACAGATTGGGGATGCAGACTTAGAAAGAAATGTACATCTGGAATTGTGTGGTATCAATCATCAGTTGACAGGCTATTTAATAGGGTACCATTATGGAGCAGTAGATATGTCAGTGCTTCTAACCCAGTGTCACTGTCGCTTATCCTTGATATTGACTGATCAGCCAATTGGAATATTCTTGAAAAATATTTAACTTTTCTCTATTTCAAAACCTTCTCATTAGAAAGAATATACTGTGTTGACTATCTCTAAGGGGATATTTTTAAAGCTTAATTAATAGATCATCCTTTAAAATGTGGCTATACTAGCCTTCTTTTTTATATATCCCAAGGGACATTTCCATACATATGCATAAATCACTCAATAGGCAAGTGTGTATGGAAAGCATGTTGTGTGCTTAGTGCAGAGGTTGAATTATTAAAACCAGATCCATGGGAAGGAGACTAGTACACTGTGGTGATGGTATTTCCTATGATTTTCTTTCTATGCTTTTACAGGCCAGAAGCCAGGCTTATAAGTATTCTCTAAGGGAAGAAGAAAATAAAAAATTACAAAAGATGAAGGAAGAACAACATCAGAAGGTATTGACAATGCCCTATGAGTTATTGCTAATTATTATTTACTTCTGACAATAATTTCAAAGGGTTTCTGAACAGAAATATTTAAATGCATGAAAATCCTGAAAAAATAATACAAGCCATTAACACTAAAAAGTGAGATGTGGGTATGTCTTAAAAGTATGGTGGCTAATTCTAGTCAAAATTATCATGCTACTTTATCTTATGGGGGTTACAGTGTGTCTGCTACAGTTGCTGCCAGAAGTTCACTGAGATAATAGAACATTTGTGAACTTCTCATCTACAAAACAAAACCAATGTTACTGCCATTTTTTAAACCAAAGATGTACATATGATATACAGTGTCCAGGGAATGGTATATTACACAACAAAGTGGGTATACACATTCATGAAACTGGCTTAAATATTCACCTAAAATACAATATAAAAGAACATAAAGATACTCTATTGGATGTATATATGTATATATATACACACATATATATTATATGTATGTATGTATGTATGATACTATATTGTATGTATATGTGTGTGTGTGTGTGTGTGTGTGTGTATATATGAATATGTGAGGCAATTCAAAAGTTCTGAGCAGTAGAAATAAGTGCAGTGAATTCAGAGCCTCCTAAGAAGAGTGGTTAGAAGGGTAATCCTTATTTGAATATGAAATTTCTGGTGCGGTAACTTAAAATATTCAGTGTTTTGACTTGATGGCCATACCTGCCTTGATCCATAGTCTTAGAAAGGACCAGAAGCTCCTCAGCATGGGCTGAGAATAAGGAGGAATACCAGAGGTTATCCCTGAGGTGCCACTGCATCCCAGGTCCTTTGAAAAAGCAAAAAAAGTTATTTGGCTAGTCGGAGACCATTATCTTCTCTATAATTCTTATTTTCTAACTTTTATTTTTACTATATTGGCGACTGATATATCTTGTCATTTATTCCAGGATATCTCTTAAATCTATATTTCTTCAATTATGCAATTAATTTGAATCTGCATTTCCTTGATTTCATTTAATTTGTTTTCATCCTTATGTCTTTGCCACAAAAGGGTGATTTATGATAGCAATTGTGTGTGAAACTCACATTATGAAATGGACTATATATATTGTGCTAATTGTTGTTGCTATAATTTGACTCTTTTGAGTGTTACCCTCCTCCCAACAGTGGTTAATCCCTTACTCGTTCATGGTTTCACCCAGCATACAGAATAAATGACTGTGTCCCTAACCTGTTTTGTCCATGGTAGGCAGTAATTATATAGTTGAAAGAATAATGCAAATTCTAAATTTAGTTATTAAGCTACTATATAAGCTATGAAACATTTTTATTCCCTGGTGTATATATATATGTATATATATATGCCATCTTGAAATCTACAATTAAATAAACAGCATTATAGTAACATTCTGGTAGTTAGCAAGTATAATCTAAATCTGGTATATACTCATAATGTCTTTTAAATGTCATTCAATTTCAAATGACACAGAAGTGTTAATCTGTTTCCATGATCTTTTAATTTACTACCAAGTCCTGCGGTAGGTACAGAGGAGAGTGTTCTGAAGTTAGCGTACACATGATTTATTTTAAAGTAGCTTCTGGTGAATTTTAAATAGTATTTAATAAAGTTTGGTGTATATTTTTGGAATGTGAAAACCATTAAAAGTAAAACATTTTACAAAGAGAATGCTCAACAGATTAGAAAATCAGGTCTGGGATTTAATTTTCAGGTTGAGCTGTTATTTTAAACAGTGAAAATTAAGCCTTTTATTTCTTAATCTTGTTTCTTCAAGAGTTTGACAAATATTGATACATACATATTTCCTGGTTATTGACTAAACATACCTTTCTTTTGCATAAACTACTTCCCTTTACTTTCTGTAACTTTTGGTAAAATGAATAATATTAGTGCATAGATAATTCTATCATTAGGGATTTCAATAACGGTACAATAACTCAGCATATTTATCATATTTTTGTTTAATCTGTTAGAAAATGTTCACCGAAGGCATTCCCTGATTGGTAGAATCTGTCATTCCTTATCACTTTAATGATTTAGCTTCAGAAAACAAGACCATGTCTTTGGTAAGAAGATACGGAAAACAACACATTTATATCATCACATCTATTCATGTATCTGTTTGTTCCATTCATTTAACAAGTATTTATTGTTACCTTCTCTGGAATAATTTGTAAGTAGATCATCTAGGTTTAGTTGAGGTGACAGCACATTTCTTTGGTTCTCTATGTCTCTGACTTTCACATTCTTTTAATTCTGGTCTCTGGGCACAGTAGGTTTTTCTCTGTTTACATTTGATTAAATACCTTTTTCTAGAAATTTATTTATAATTTCATTCCCCCCTCTATACCTTCCATATTTTTTTCTCTATTGTCTGATACTTGTTTTTTATCAAGTAATATGCTCACTATTGCCATTCATTCTAAAATGAACAAAACAACTAACCCCTTCCTTGATTCTGCTATTCTCAGATATAGCACCTTTTTCTGCTTCTACCAAATTAATAAAAAGAAAGACAAAGGTAATATTATTATAGTCATCTTTTTTAGAGTATTTTTATTTTTACTCTATTACTGTTGTCCCAATTTTTTCCTCTTTGCCCTCTTTCATCCAGCCCACCCCCTGCTTCTGCAATCAATCCCCACACGGTTGTTCATGTCCATGGTTCATTTGTGCATGTTCCTTGACTCATCCCTTCCCTTTCTTTCTACCACAATCCCCCTCACCTCCCCACTGGTCACTGTCAGTCTGTTCCTTGTTTCCATGCCTCTGGTTCTATTTTGCTCCTTAGTTTATTTTATTCATAGATTCCTCTTATAGCTCAGATCATATGGTATTCATCTTTGACTGACTGGCTTATTTCACTTAGTATAATGCTCTCCAGTTCTATCCATGCTGTTGCAAAAGGTAGAAGCACCTTCTTTCTTTCTGCTGTGTAGTATTCCATTGTGTAAATGTACCACAGTTTTTTGATCCACTCATTCATTAATGGGCACTTAGGCTGTTTCCAACACTTGACTCTTGTAAATAGCATTGCTATGAACATAGAGGTGCAAAAGTTCTTTTGAATTGGTGATTCAGAATTCTTAGGGTATATTCCCAGCAGTGGAATCACTGGATCAAAAGGCAGTTCCATTTTTAGTTGTTTGAGGAAAGTCTATGCTGTTTTCCACAGTGGCTAACCCAGTGTACATTCCCACCAACAGTGCACTAGGTTTCCCTTTTCTCCACATCCTTACCAACACTTATTTTTTGTTGTTTTGTTTATGATGGCCATTCTGACTGGTGTGAGGTGATATCTCATTGAGGTTTTAATTTGCAATTCTTTAATGCCTAGTGATCTTGAACATCCTTTCATATCCCTATGGGCCCTATGTGTGTGTTCCTTAGTGAGGTGTCTATTCAGTTCCTTTGCCCATTTTTTAATTGGATTGCTTGTCTTCCTGGTGTAGAATCAGATGAGTTCTTCATACATTTTGGAGATCAAACCCTTGTCCAATGTGCCATTGGCAAATATATTCTCCCATATGATTGGTTTCCTTTTCATTTTGATGGTGGTGTCTTTAGCCACACAGAAGCTTTTTAATTATATGTTTCTTATATACATCATCCTTAATTCTTTACATTTCCAAATGCTCTTACAGAAACAACTTGCTGAAGATAAAATCCCTTCTGAACATTCAATTCAGTGGTCTTTTTGGAATCCCCATCTCCCTGTAATTCTGTAACAGTATTTAACACCACTTTAAAATTTTCCTTTTCTGGCCTTTTTACTGCATCATTTTGTTTGAATTATCTGAAAGTAACCTATTTCTGTATTCATTCATCTATCCATCCATTATTTCATCCTATCAAGAAAAATATAGAGAGTTCCTATTATGTGCTGAGCCTTGTACAAGATGCTAGAGCTTCAATTAAGAACAAGATAGTTCCCATATACAAAAATTAACTCAAAATGAATCAAAGACCTAAATATATTACCTGAAACAATAAATTACATAGAAGAAAACATAAGTACTAAACATATGGACTTTGGTCTTAGAGAAGATTTTATGAATTTGACCCTAGAGAGAGGGGAAGTAAAGGCAAAAATAAATGAATAGGACTATGTCAAACTAAAAACATTTGGCACAGCAAAAGAAACCACCAGCAAAACAAAAAGGTAAACAACTGAATGGGAAAAGACATTTGCAAATGAGAGCTCTGACAAGGGGTTAATATCCAAAATAATTTGCCCAGATACTTTTGCCAAACTGGCAAAGTGGTCAAAGTGGGGCATACAATTGTTTATATGAAAAATAATACTATCATAAATAATAATACAAGAATAAACTGTTTCACATACTTACAAATGTAAACCTACTTTTGCCCCACCCTGTGTATGAAGAACTCATGCAACTCAACACCAAACAAACAACAATGCAATTAAATGGGCAGAGGACCTGAACAGACACTTCTTCCAAGAAGACACACAAACAGCCAACAGATATATGAAAACATGCTCAGCTTCATTAGCTATCAGGGAAACATGAATCAAAACTACAATGAGATACAACCTCATACCTGTAAGAATGGCTAATATCCACAAAAAGGATAATAACAAATGTTGGACAGGTTGTGGAGAAAAAGGAACACCTATTCACTGCTGGTAGGAATGTAAACTAGTGCAGCTAGTATGGAAAACAGTATGGAGGTTCCTTTAAAAATTAAGAATAGAGTTACCATATGACCCAGCAACTTCTGTTCTGGGTATCTAAAATAGAATTGAAACCCTAAAATTGAAAACATTTATTCACAAAGATATATGCACCCCTATATTCATTGCAGCATTATTCACAGTGGCCAAGCCATGGAAATAACTGGTGTCCTTTGCTAGATGACTGGATGAAGAAGATGTGGTACATATATACAATGGAATACTACTCAGCCATGAGAAAAGATGAAATACTTCCATTTGTAACAACATGGATGGACCTTGAGTATATCA